ACTCTTTCCTATGATCTGTGTCTAAGGTGCTTGTCTACCCTTATACAGCAAGACACAGGCTCTTCTCAAAGGTAAGTCATACAAGGATCCTGACTTTAGCTGATGCTGTCAGGCCTGAGAGGAGCTTCCCTCTCCAATAATGGTAAAGAGAGCCTAAGGAGTTTACCTGCTGCCTTTGTGAATATCTTCCTATCTAGTCCCCAATATTAATTGTATGCCTTATTTTGGCATCACTACCAACCCCTCAAAATGCAGAAAAAAGCAGACTAGTAAATGAAAGAGCAAATGGTGGGTTGAGAAGTGTTCATTCCTTTTATTCACAGGGCTCTTCTAATGTTATAAGATACCAGGATTTTTCAAGCTCACCTGTAATCTTATTGGGGAAGATTTTCAAATGAAGCTAAATTAAATCACGATCATAAGCCATGTGGCTGTGGTTGAGAAGACAGCTGTTTTTCTACAATCCATTCTAGAGTTTTGGCTGTGGCCTGATTCTAATTTTACTGCCTTCATTAGATTGCCACTTTTCCCTGCTGCAGGCAACAACTGCTTCATTTACTCAGCAGAGCCTCAATTTCCAAACAAGATCCAGCCTCTAAGCAGAACAAACTGTTCTAGCAATCATCCCAGAACTTAGCAGATGCAGACCACTTGCTACCAGTTCCGATTTATTGCTGAAGCATCTCCTTTTATTGCTTCCCAAGGATGCCTTCCATGGTTTCCCCCCTAAATGCTCTACCTTTCTTCTCCCTTATTTCTCATTGCCTCAAGAATCATGTCCGTAGTTATGAAACCATGAAGGATTCAGGGTTGCATGCATACCTGTTCCACAAGTACGGAACAAGTTGTCTAAAGGCAAGAAAACTCATTAACACTGTATGCCTTATTCATTATAATCATCTAATTTGGAAAGTCTTTTCATGGGTAAATGGACCTGAGAAACAGATGATGAGAGATTACACATTTGCTAACATATTCATACAAGAAAACTGGGCCAACCTGCTGAGGCTAGTTTGCGTACCACAGACACATCAGATCTGGAAACAAATCCCACTGATTACGACAGCATATGTTTTGCATATGGTGGAAATGCACATCTTTTACGCAGAGAGTTTTCAAGTATAGAAAACAATCTCATGGTTTTGTAGAGGTTTGGTTTGGTTTTTTTAAATAATGCTGATTTATTCATTAAACATTTGTGATTAAGGAGTAAGCATGTAACTTCTTCCTCTTCGGTTATTGCAAATTATTAGTTTTTCATATAAGAACTGCCCCCATTTTATAGAATCATAGAATGTTTTGGGTTGGAAGGGACCCCTAGAGGTCATCTAGTCCAACCCCCCTGCAGTGAGCAGGGACACCGCTAAATATTTCTCTAAACACCTCTCAGACTGAGGATCAGTTATACCATTATTTGTGCTGTGTAATTTTTTTTTTTAACTGTGTGGAGCTATATACCAGAACGTCTTATCTATAATTTCACAGATATTGACCTGTCTTTCCAGGACCCTCCATTCCCTTTTTCTGGATACATTTCAGTACAATTTGTGCTGTTTCTCTCACTGTGAACATTGTAAAATATTGTTTGCCTCCCACAAATAGGCAGAATTTTAACATAAGCAAGCTTGGATGGCTGAAGAAACACAGAAAGATTAAAAGACAGTTGTGGGGAGGGGGAACAGCAGTCTAGAAATATTGAGAATGCCTATCTCAGAACTGACAACTGGAGCTTTCCAGGATCAATGGCATCTGCACCTCATTCAGGGCAAAATTTTGGTGCTCTCTTCATCCAGCCATACTTAGGATCCCACAGTTGAACTTGTTAATGAAATTCCCTCTCACAGTTAAAAATAAAAGACAAAAAAATACTGAATATGAATGTGGAAGGAAGGCAATTTGATGTTTGTAATTATCGAGGTAAACTCCACGACCTGCTGAATGTATGCAAAATGGACCCTGGACGGTGTATATAAATGTGGCATGTGCAGAGAATAAGAGCAAGTATTGAGACTTCTTTCTGGTAGAGCAAGTCATCATACAGGATCCCTACCATGAGCAACAAGGGGGCTTCACTGAAAGGTAAGAAAGAGTTTTGCCATTCACTTGCTGATAACTTTTAAATGTCTTTAAATTTAGATTAAATTAGGAAGTAACTGAAATTAACAGCTCTAGAAACTGAGGTCTTCCAGCCACGTAGTCTTCCAGTAATGGTGAAACCTGTCTCCACCTCAACTGTTTAGTGTACAAAGCTTGGAATTAGAAGGCAGCTTGATCCTTTTTTTACTCAGTCTTTTGTCTCCTAAGACCACCTTCACATTGGGCAGCGTCACAGAAAATTGGCTTGAAGGATGTGACACCTGTACACGAAAGACTGGATCCAGACTGCTTTAGTACAGCACTCAGAAGGCAATGACTGAAAGTCAGTATCCACAGGTCTAGAAGTGATATAGTAATTTTGAAGTGGATGTTTTCATAACCATCTTCAACTTTCTAAGCCAACAAGTCTCAGGTTTTCTTATTCATAGAATTATTCCCCAGAGTACTTTCCTAACTGCAGCATGTGGCATGTGCCTTGTTCATGGGGGAGGAGGAAGGCTTACTTGAGTATTGTGTAACTGCACTTTTCTTGAATTTAGAGCTAGGAGGAAATTTATTGCATGATAACATTAGGGGAAGCTCTGCTGTACACCTTAATTTAGTATTTAAGTCTAGTGAACCAACACAGGTAGCAGGCCAGTTTCCAGAATTAAAACACTCAGAGCACAGAATACTGTTCTTTGAATAAGTACATTAATTTACAAAATATTTGCTTTTAATTTTTTACATTGTTTCTGTGCATATTTTATTTCACTGAATAGGAAACTTGACTCCATTTATATTAAAAGTTTTAAACAGATGAGGTTTTGTGTTTTAGATAATGAGAAGTCCTATACATCAGTTTCAAAAGCTCAGGAGAAAAGACAAAAGTCTCTGATTTCTTAGCAGTAGTGAATTTAGGGTTAAACTCTAAACAGCAAAGCAGCACAGCTGCTGGAAATCTTCTGAAGGAACTCCCAGGACAATCAAAACCTTAAGAGAGTGACCTAACCACCCTCCCACAAAATTAATTTAAACTCCAAATGTTTGCGAAGAAGAAAAGGACCTGTGGGAGGAGGAGAGGAAAAAAAAAAAAAAAAGAAAAAGACCAATCTATTTTCCAAACTTATATATCTGTGCAAATACAATTATGTATCTATATTTACACTGTGAAGAAGTTTGATTTTTTTCTTCCATTTATCACTATATACTAAAGTCAGGCATAACAGTAAGAGGCTTTGGAATACAGTGTACACTGCAACACAGGTTACCTTGTTGTCTCCTCAAACTCTGTATCAGGCTCATGCTATACAGTCAGGATGACGGAGGGGAGAAAGGATAACAGACCTACAGTGCTTCTCTCCTCCATCGATTTTCATCAGCCAGTACGGAGGGCACTCTGAGCCATGTGACAGCACAGCCAAAATCACCCAGCATCTGGCTGTGACAGCTACTTCTACATGCACATAAAAGTCAATGTGGTTCCATTTTGGTTTGCTTTAAACCTGACTAGGTTTGTTGCTGGTGGTCCTTCTGGTGTCCAACATGCTCCTGACAAAGGAAGGAGTGACCTCCTTGCCAATCTGCCCCAACGGATCTGTCAATTGCCAAGTTTCCCTTGGGGAACTTTTTGACCGAGCAGTTGAACTTTCACACTACATCCACTTCCTCTCTTCGGAAATGTTCAATGAATTTGTAAGTACTCTGCCTTTTCCTGAGAGTCAGAAAATATAATAATGCAATTTAATACTTTTTAAGCACAAACATATGTTAACATATGAAATTCTTCAATAAGTAAACAGATATGACTGCTGTACAAACAGGCCCAATGGTTACCAAATCTGTGTATAGTGCTGACCATTGTTAAGATCCCCTATAGTTCTATTAAGAGATACCAATTCCCTATCATTCTTTATCTATGGCAGACATTTGTGTTTGCTGGGTACTAGTTTCACTCTAAAGACTCACCAGAATTTTTTTACCTTTACAGCATAAAAGCAATGGAACAACAATTAGTTAATACAGTATTTGAATCATAGAATCACAGAATGATTTGGATTGGAAGGGACCTTAAAGATTATCTAGTTCCAACCCCCTGCCTGCAGGGACACCTTCCACTAGACCAGGTTGCTCAAAGCCCCATCCACCCTGGTCTTGAACACTTCCAGGGATGGGGCATCCACAGCTTCTTTGGGAAACCTGTTCCAGTGCCTCACCACCCTCATAGTGAATTTCTTCCTTATATTGAATCTAAATCTGCCCCCTTTAAGTCTAAAGCCATCACCTACCCCTTGTCCTATCACTACATGCCTTTGTCAAAAGTCCTTCTCCAGCTTTCTTGTAGGCCCCCTTCAGGTACTGGAAGGCTGCTGTAAGGTCTCCCCAGAGCCTTCTCTTCTCCAGGCAGAACAACCCTAACTCTCTCAGCCTGTCCTTATAAGAGAGGTGCTCCAGCCCTTGGATCATTCTCGTGGCCCTCCTCTGGACCCACTCCAACAGGTCCATGTCCTTTTTATGTTGGGGGCCTCAAGTTGAACGCAGTACTCTAGGTGGCAGTCTCATGAGAGTAGAGTAGAGGGGATGAATCACCTCTCTCAACCTGCTGGTCACACTTCTTTTGATGCAGCCCAGGATATAGTTGGCTTTCTGGGTTGTAAGTGCACATTGCTGCCTCATGTTGAGTTTCTTATCAACCAACATCCCCAAGTCCTTCTCCCCAGGGATGCCCTCAATCCATTCTCTGCCCAGCCTGTATTCGTTCTTGGGATGTGCCCGACACAGGTGCAGGACCTTGCACTTGGCCCTGTTGAACTTCATGAGGTTTGCATGGGTCCACCTCTCAAGCCTGTCAAGGTCCCCCTGGATGGCATCCCTTCCCTCCAACACATTGACCGCATCACACAGCATGGTGTCATCAGCAAACTTGCTGAGGGTGCACTCAATCCCACCGTCCATGTCACTGACAAAGATGTTAAGTAGCTTCAACCCCAATACCAACCCCTGAGGAATGCCACTCGTCACTGGTCTCCAACATCAGGCTGTTGACCAGAACTCTTTGAGTGCAACCATCCAGCCAATTCCTTATCCACATAGTGGTCCGTCAGTCAAATCCATGTCTTTCCAATTCAGAGACAAGGATTGTCAAATGCTTTGCACAAGTCCAGGTAAATGACATCAGTTGTTCTTCTTTTATCCGCTAACACTGTTGAATTGAATCTCTTCTTACTTATCTGTTTCAATAATGCCTGTCTTTGCTGATCTGCAGGATGAACGCTATGCTCAGGGCCGGGGTTTTATTGCAAAAGCTGTTAATGGCTGCCACACTTCCTCCTTAACCACTCCTGAAGATAAGGAGCAAGCTCAGCAGATTCATGTAAGTCCCATTTCTAATGTCAGTCAGTGTGAGACAGAGCTGGGGGAGGGGGGAAAGAGGGAGGGTTAAGAGAGGCAGCAGACAGAGAGAGGGAAAGCAGCTCAATCGGAATAAAAAAGCCAGGAAGAAGAAAGCACCAAAAAGCCAAGCTGATTTAACATTTGCTGATACTAAGTTACAGGCTACACAGAATATATAAGGACCGGTAACTTTCATCTTCCCTTCTTTTTCTTGTATGTTACATTCAGTCATTGCACTTTATTTCCAGTTACAACATAACCTCATGGAACCATTCCAGTTACCAGGGTTGTACAATAGTGAGAACACTACAACCTTTGAACATTATCTTAGAACACCTTATAGACAATTATTATATTAACAAACATAAAAATACACTGGCTATATAGTGAATACTGTATGTAGGCAGAGGTAAATTGTTTTCCAGCAAGTAAAAACACTGACATTACTAAACAAATGCTAAATAGATATTCTTGCTGTTACCAGTAGGCAAAAGTGGTCACATCGTCATCCAAATACAAAAAACCTAGTGCAAAATACTAGTAAAGAGAAACATGCTACATACATCAATTTAATAATTTAAGCTTAAGGGAAGATGAAGATGGTCTTGGTCAGCCTATGCTCACAGATACAATTTAAAAATACTCTGCAGAAAAAAATAAGCACAGGTGTATGAATGTGGGTGTGCCAGGGAGAAATCTTTATCCATTTCATGGTGGTGATATCCTTGCAATCCATGTATTGCCATCTTCTCAGTATGTCATTCAGAAATTCTATTGGGAGCAATAGAATTCACAGCCCTGGGTACGTAACATGTCTGGTTGTGTTCAGACCCAGTGCATCTAGTAAAGAAGAAATGGTTGAATACTACCATAACCATAAGCTCTATGAATTTTTATTGCCTACAAGAAAGAACAATTTTTAAAACCAGAGAACTATTGCTGGAAGCACCATTGTTCAAAGAGGAGGACAGATGAGTTACGCAGAGGCAATAAAAGTTATTTGGTGGTGTACCATAATGTACACCTTCCATTCAGTACTAAATATTTTTTTTTAAAAAAAAAGGATTTTAAAATGTTCATCAAAAATCAGATAAGGAATTCTGTGTTTTTCACTGAGATGAAACAAGTTGTGTTTGCTAGTTTTTAAAGTGGAGAGGGTTTAATGATATTTTCCATTACAATACTGTAACTGCTTGCGCTAATACTGTAAAGTATGATGACAACAATGACAAACTTCAAAAATGCAGTCGCGCAGAGGTATCTAAGACAGGGCTATAGGGCACATTCAGGGGTAAGTCCTGGAATTAAGTTCTCAAATCACTATGTCTGATGACATTGCTCTAAATGCCTCCTAATGCTGCCAGCATTTAGCCTTCCTATTTTAACTGCCTTGCTTAATGTGGGTGAGCAGCATGAAGACCTACTGAATTTAGTACTGGGAGTGCTGCGCTCCTGGAATGATCCCCTGATCCATCTGGCCTCTGAAGTACAAAGAATCAAAGAAGCTCCAGACACCATCCTCTGGAAGGCTGTAGAGATTGAAGAACAAAACAAGCGGCTTCTCGAAGGAATGGAGAAAATAGTTGGGCGGGTAAGTATTAGCCTGTTGCTGTAAGGAAGACACATATAGTGATAGCCCCTCCATACCTGGAATAGGAAAGGAAACAGTAGATGTGAAGGGAAAAAAGGGAGCCAAGAGAGATGAATCTGAGAACTTTTCGGCTTTCTTCTTTCAGCTTTCTTCTCTTCTGCTACCTTGCAATTTCTAAAGAGACAATGTGATGTGACTGTCATGGCATAATCCAGCGTACACCCAGTCCTGCTTCAAGGGAAGCTATAATAATCAGGACGGCTAATCGTCATTCTATCTTTGAGTATTTTGAATTTGCAATCCTGATTTTTTAAGGATGAATCTGTGTTTTTTCACATGCACATGTTTATATGTATGTTTTACCATATTTCTCTGTATACATGTAGTTTTCAGAAACAGATACTGTGTTTAAAACAGTTCTGGAAGTTTGGGCTATTGCAAAGATGTGGCGCACAGCAAAGAAATCATGGTATCTTTCATTTCTCTTTTCGCACCATGCTGGTTCCTCTGAGCTCTGGTTCTGACTTGGTTGCCCCTACACTTGTAAGGTTAGACAACAAGGCTGTTGTCTGACAAAACCCATACTCAAATACCTCTTGTTATCAGTAATTGATTGAAAGCTTTCCTGAACAAAATCAGCTCTAGCCTGTTTATTTTTAAAGGGGCCTCTGTTAGTCCCTGAATATATCATTCTGTCGGTGAACTAGATGTTAACAAAAGGTTCTGACTTCACTGGCTTTTTGCTTGGGCTCTGGACAGTTGAACAGATTTAAAAGTGCCACCATCACTGTACCCACCACTTTCCACTGCATCACTCATGGTGTCGCTCTCTTTCAGCTACGTGTCTCTTTACTCAGAAACCTTAGCCCATCCAGGCCACAAATGGATTTATCAGTGTAATCAAATACATCTCTATCCCATATCGATGTGTAAAAAGGGTGCAGGCGAGGATCCAAGATAACAGCAGAAGTCAGGTGCTGCTACAGTTACCCTGTCACCACCTTCTCATTCACATTATTTACAGAAGGAGGTTGAAGACAAGACTGGCAAATTGATTAGTGTCAAGCCACATTTTTGGCTGATAGTAGGTCTATCTGGTTTTTGCCTGTTGCTTAAACTGAGTGATAGAGGCTCCACAGATACTCTCCTATGTACTTTTAGAAAGTACAACTGGTGGGAAATACGGAAGACGCACAAGCACTAATAGGCACAGACTTTCTTCCTGCTACAAAAGGTAGATTTCTGTGATATGAGAAAAATTAATTGTCTCTTTCAAACAAGGAGACCTAAACCAATCTTCACCTCAGATACTAACTCACTACGTGAGTTCCTACACGTAGCTTTCTAACGTTAGAGGTCACTGTATCACTCAGCATTTTTTTTTTTTTTTTAATGGAATCTGAGGTACAGTACATCTACAGATGTACAGATATACTGTACCTCAGATTCCATTAAAAAAAAAAAAATCACCTGAAGATGTACTGTTGAGAGATTTGTCTGATATAATGTTCTTGAAGCTGCCTGAGAGATTACCTGAGAGATGGGCTGAGACAAAGCTGGAGATACACACAAACCAGTTCTAGGAACAAGTGCTAACAAAGACTTCAAGGAGTAGGGAACCAAAAAGAGATGTCACTGATGAGTCCATGCATGAAGGAACATTTGATTTCTCTGCAAAGTCAGATTACACTGGACGTTGGTTAACACACTGGTTTTCTTAAAATATTGCTGACACAGTTAAGCTTTTTACATATTTTAGGGAAATAAACAGAAAAATCTGTCAAATTCATTCAAAATCTGCATGAAGATATAGAACATTATACAGAATAGTGGGAACCATAACAGGAAACACTTTACAAGCCATAAACTAGCAACTAGCATTCCTCAAGGCCTGTATTCTAAACGTTCTGTTTGTTCTACATCTGGTCAGATTCACTGTCATTTTCTACAGCATCATTTTCTGTCTTTAGGTTCATTCTGGTGAGACCGGAAATGAGGTTTACTCTCAGTGGGAAGGCCTTCCATCGCTGCAACTCACTGATGAGGACTCCAGACTCTTTGCCTTTTACAATCTGCTGCATTGCCTCCGCCGAGATTCCCACAAAATTGACAACTATCTCAAGCTCCTGAAGTGCCGCCTAATCCACGATAGCAATTGTTAAGTAGTCATGGGCCTAAACACTTCCTGAAATCATTCATCATGGTGTTCGTTTTGCTTTGCTGCTTTTCATTGCAAACTTTATGAAAAGTCACACAGTACAGTATCAGGATCATCAGTAACTTTCAGGCATGTTTGTGTCAATTCTGGCTGCAATAATTAGCACCGTTTACCTTGGTGTTTTAAAATGTTATAAGTTACTTGTATGACAAGAATACACTTTTCTGTCTAATCTCCTCACTAGTAGCATTTCAGTGATAACCAGATCATGCAGATACAAATAAAAATGTTATGAAATCCAAAAGTGCATAACACTGAGTGGTATCAGTGGATGAAAAATAGCTGGTACGGTTTATAACTTTAGCAGGAGCTTCTCTTTTTGGATCTCAGTCTCCACTTACTGATGACAGGATATCTCACTTCCATTGCTCATTTACCCCCACTCCAGAAAAGAGGGGGGGAAAAAAGGAGGGACATCAAAAAGCAGATTAATCACCTATTACACTAAGCTACCCTAAACTAAAAGTATGGTCTGAAATCTAATCTACTTGGCCTGATGCTTTTAGTCTGTACAAAACCACTCTGAGTAGGGGAGAGAAAGGAAAAGAGATCCATCCTGGCTAACATAGCCATTGATTCCCCATGCAGTCCATGGAGACAGAAGATACATCTGGAATTTTAAGGACAGAGATGCGGGTATATCTATGTCTCTATTAACTATCTGGAGAAGAGTCATTTCCAAAGGAAGGTTCATTGCGTTTGAGGTGACTGACTATCTGAGGGCAAAGGAACCAATAGGTTTCAGCATGTCCCAATAGGAAATGCTGGGCATCCATATCATATCCACCTACCCTTCACATTACTCACAAGTGATGGGAGTTGTTTAGCCTGCAAAAAGGAGGCTGAGGGGAGACCTTATCAACCTCTACAACTACCTGAAAGGAGGTTGTAGTGAGTTGGGTGTTGGTCTCCCAAGTAACTAGTGATGAGAGAAAATGGCCTCATGTTCCGTCAGGCGAGGTTTTGATTGGATACTGAAAGAGTGGTCAAACATTGGAACAGGCTGCCCCGAGAGGTGGTGGAGTCTCTATCCCTGGAGGTGCTCAAAAAACTTGTAGATGTGGCACTTCAGGACATGGTTTAGTAGGCATGGTGGTGTTGGGTTGACAGTCAGACTTGATGATCTTGGAGGTCTTTTCCAACCTTAATGATTCTGTGATCCTGTGATGTGGTTACACTTGCACAGAAAACTTCCGAGCTATAATAAGGCACTAGCTGAGCTAAGGCGCCTGCTGCCCTAAACCCGAAATTTTTCTCAAACTTTGAGATTCAGGTCTCAAAGATTTTAGGGCACTCATTTTCAAAACGCTGCAGTTAAACATCAGAAAATTGGAGAAACCAAAACAAATTACTACTTTTGAAGAAATCTGGCTTACAGTCACACAGGAAGTAAGGAGCCAAATAGCTGCGGGAGCCATTGACCATATCTATGTACCGTCTTTGCAAGCCATAAACTCAGCTTTGGCTTCATCACACAGCTTCAGCAGAGAGGAACTAAAATTCAAATCAGCTCCTCATGGGTTTGGTTTCCCACTAGACAAGCCTAGTACACTGCTCCAGAGTTGAGCCAGCTTGGAGGAAGAGTGAAACACCAGGGAAGATCGGTTTGAGGGCTTAAGCCCTTCATTACCATAACAGAATAAGCACAGCCGTAATAGATATTTATGTAAAAGATTAGATGATACCAACCGCTAAAAAGGTCTTATTTTAGCCACCTCTATGAGGATGTAATGATAATTGCATTTCTAATTATGTGTATATATATATATAATGGCCTTTTAATCTCTTAATGGTTTTAATTATTGATTGCCTCAGGCTTTATTTGGGTAAGTATATACTAATCCCATTTTTAATATATACAAAATCACCTGTACAGCAAACAAATTCCTTGTTGGACAGTCATAACTGATATCTTTCATAAGCTCTGAAATGCGCAAAACTTGGGGCATATGCAACAGCAGTTTAACAACACACAGCTGTACAACATCACAGTCAAGGAAGAAAATGGATAAAATTTGCCAGGCAAAATGCAAGTGCCCAGACTAGAATTTAATCTGATCATAATATCCTATTTTCTGTTAGAATGCCAATGGGAAAAAAGCATTTTAAAGGGAAAAAAGAAAAAAATATCCTTTGTAATTATCACAAGTGCTTAGAATTACAGTGTGAGTTCTTATTCAAAAGAAAACATGAATAATGGGACTACTCTGTATTGAGCTGGAAAAACGATTATGTCTCGCTGAGTAAACTCCTACCTCAGAATCTCTTTAGAATTCAAAAGCAACTTGATTAATAGGGCAGACATTCATAATTTTACACTTACATGACTAGATCTAAAACAATGACTTTCATTAACTGCTTAAAAATTACAGTGCTAAAACAATTGTTTAAAACTTGCATGCACTGGCTTTATTATAGCCTGTTTTAGTACAATTATGAGTTTTTAATTTCATAAAGATAGAAGAGAATTACAAAAAAGATTCTAAACAACTGAAAAGCTATCTGGTTTGCAGCTGTTTAGCTAAAGGGGTATTTAAAAGTGATCTGGTTAATATTCTGAGTCATCACAGCTGTCACAGAGACAGAAAGACGTTGAACCCCATGAGCACATTCAAAGCTACACCTTCATTGTGTTGGACAATGCCTTCAGACTCTGAATGTTCAAGCCACAATATAGGCCAATTGGCAATTCTCTTTTTTTCAGTTGCTAATAGGAAAAAAACATTCTTATCTCACTAATATTTGGTTAATTAGTCTATGTTCATAAGACCTGAGCAACTATTGTCTTTCATCCAATAAGAATAGTTGCATAGCCAATCTCTTATTTTATATGAACCTGAGTTTAGAACAAGCATGTTCTTTCTAAATGAAAGAATTTGATATCAATAAGAGTTTTTTTCCCAAGTCTATTAACTTCTGGCTACCTCAGGTTTCCAACAGTTGAAATGGCTAGATTTCTAATTATTTATTGGCAATATTTAAATCTCTGCTGGTTTCTTTCCTTCTGTTCATTTAAGATTGCTTAGTGATAGGAATGGAAAGGAAAAGTCCACATGGCTGAAATAAAGACTCCGTTCTTTTCCCTTTGAAAATTATATTGAAGCTTCCATAGATGGCATGAAATTTAAGATAAGACCTTGTGGCATGAAATCAAAATGGTATGAAGTTCAAACCCATTCATCACTGAGAGCATTTATCACTGAACACAACAGAGCAATAGAGAGATGGAAAATAAAAATCTAACTTGCTATTCATGACTTGTGTCTAGACTTTAGGACTATATCCAACCATTGGAGCAAACAGAAATACTTTTAAGGATGATTTTAAAGCCAGTAAGGGAAGAGTTTACTGATAGTATACGTCATTTGGAATCAGCTGCTTAACTAGCAATGTGATAATCTCTCTAATATCTTTTTTTTTCCTTTTGAGATCCTACAAAAAGCCTTCAATGGTTTAACGTCTAGCAGGAAAAAAAAAGCGACTATAACTTGGCAACTCGTCTGCACAATACAGTTTACCTTCACAATATTATTTCAAAGGCAATCCACAATTCTAATAACAAGGGATACAGTGTAGAAACCACATGTATCTTCTAAGTTTAATTTCTAAAAATTCTTTGAGGGCTACATTTTAAAAGGAGTCTGCTTATTCTAAATGAAACATACACAAACAACAAATTATGTCAGAGATGTAAACTCAGTAACCGTACTTATGTATATGTCCACACACTATAGATACCAAATACTACAATCATGCATGGGAATAACATCACAGGCATACGCACTCCCACTGAAATTACTGGGTTTACTGATCTATGCAGCTATTTACATATATGATTATTTCTGTATCAAGCTCTTAACAATTTGTGCCTGCAGATTACTTTAGTATATCTTAAAGACTGAAGCTGAGCCTCAGTGTTCAACTGAAATTTAAGACTGACTATCCATTGGTTTATATTAAGTGTTAAAAAGAGGTTTAAAACTAGTTTTAAGAAATAATGATACCTTTCTGAAGTTTCTTATGCTCGTATCCATCTTTAGGAATGAAGCTAAATTCAAATAAACATCAGTCTTGGAAAACAGTAGGAATGTCAGCCATGGTTTTCCAACTTTTTTCCCCCAAACAACTCAATGACTATCAGATAACATTTCAACAATAGGTACTATCATTGGGATTTTAAGGCTATATTTAGATATATACCCCCATAATTTAACATTAAAAAAAATGTACATTTTCTCATAGTGATTTTTCATTTCCTTTCATGTGTTCAACTATGAGGTGGAAATGAAAACAGATGAGTAATGGTACCTAATGTCCTCTGAACTGTATCTTTTTTCCATACAGGTGAAAGTAGTACAAACTGTCCTTATCTTTGGTGAAACAAATGTTCAGAAATTTCTCCCATTTTCTTTGATTTTTTGGGGGGTTTTTGTTTGTTTGTTTGGGGTTTTTTTGTAAGGTCCCATGGGCAGATTCTGTGGAACACAAAAGAAAATACAATGCCATTTTAAAGGAAAGTACAGAGCCCGCCTTTCAATCTATTTTTTTTTTTTTTTTTTTTTTGTGCATTGAGGGAAAACACAAACCCTGATGCTTACTTTGTCACTAATTCTCTTTCATACCACCATGTTTATGCTCTTCTAATCATCCAAGAAGCACTAGAATCTCATGCTAACATTCTGGGGTTTAGGGAGGAATAAGTTGTCATGGCATACTACCTTCTAATTCATGCATCCAGAAGAGAATTGCAGGACATGATCACTCTTTGTTCTTTTCCTCATGAAGGAGCTCTGAAGTTCTTTCACTGAGTGGTAACATTTTATATACAGATATAAGCCAGTCCACATGAACTTATTTTTCTTCCTTGGTACACAGTACGAGTGCTAACGAAGTGAAAGGAGGTTATAGAAAGACTTTGAAGGTCACAAAACCACTTGGTCTCTG